TATATATATTCGTAGATCATTTTGTATAATTTCAAGAAATTGTTAATAATATTTATATTTTTCATAGATAATTTCTCTTGATATGGCTACATGTATCTCATATATGGAAAATCACATTCACTGGATGTGTTTAAATCATATGAGGTTGAGGTTGAACTTCAACTCAACAAAAAAATTTAATAATGTCAGATCTAATCGTGGTAATGAATACTACGGCAGTTATGATAGTTTAGATGAACAATGTCTCAGACCATTTGTCAAACACCTGGAGGAATGCATGACAGTCCCTCAATTTACCATGTCAAGGTCACTTAGCATAACGGTGTTGTTTAAAGACAAAAATGAGAATTATATGGTGAAGAGTATGATATGTCATTCTAACTTGAATCCCTCTAGAGTGAAACACTTAATTTTGCAATTTACATTCTCTTTTTTAGGGTTTAGGGCACCCTAAAAATCACATGAACTTTCTATTGGTAAAATGCCTAGTCTTAAACATTTTCATACTTTTGGTTGTCCAAAAAAGGCAAGACCTTTCAGGCAAGAAGAAAAGAATTAGACTCTAAGAAAGTGGGTTTTTATTTCATTTGTTACTCTAAATAATGAAAGTAGTATAAATTTTATTTTCTTGCTACTAAGATAATTTTTGAGAAGTGGAATGCAATATTTTTTGAGGATATTAAGTCTAGGAATGGAAATAAGGTTGTATATTTTGTTTTTATAGTGAATATTGATTAAATAGAACTAGTTCCTATTTATAAAATTATTTTTTATAATATTCAGGTTTGTATTCTTGTCATTGATCAAGTTGCAAACCAAGATCAATAAGACAAAGCCATTGCACTTCTTCAGGTTAAAACTTAACAATCTAAAGATTAAGTGTCATAAGAAATTGAACCATTCAGAAGATCCACTAGAGAGAGAATAAATGCTATTTTGGATGATTATGTAGTATTTCTCAAAGAAAATGAGAATAACGGTGATATAGAACAATATAAGACTCCTCTTGTTGCCAAGGGATATAAATTTCTTTGTGTTGCCATTTTTATGTTGGGCATTAAAATATATTGAGATCATTCTCAGGATATTATTTGGGTACCACAAAAGAGCTATATTGAAAAGGTGCTTATAAGATTTGGCATTCAAGATAATAAACCAGAAAAGACCCTTGCGGCTAAAGAAGACAAATTACTTTAAGTCAGTGTCTTAAAAGGGACTTTGAGGCTAAGGAAATATTGGAAAAGATTTCCTATGCATCGCTTTTTGGTATTCTAATGTATGCCGAGTTTGCAGTCACATCACTTTTTGATCATTCTCAGAGTGTCTTAAAAAGTCATTTGCAGTACCTTGGAGCTAAACTGATTTTGATATTAATGTTGTCAATTATTTACATGTTTTCTAAACATTTTTTCATTCATTACATAGTTCAAAAAATTTAGTTTTATTTGTTTTTTGATAAAATTTTTGGAACAGTTAGATTTATTAGTTATCATAAAGCATTAATTAAAGCTTTGTGATACTTATAGCTTATGGATCTTTTTAAAGTATTATCAGACTTATATTTCTTCCTTTCATTTAACATATATATGTCATAACTAGTCCTGTTTTTTTTAAATGAAGAATCTTTGCTTTTCTTGAACAATGAAAAGTAGCATTGAAATTAAAATTTATTGATTGCATCTAAATAAGTTTAGCTCCATTCCTCTAGATTTATTTCCCCTGATCATTTTTAAATGTTCAATTACTTTTTTTTTTCAAGCAACAATTCCTCATATGTTTTTTTTTTGATCTACTCCTCAGATGACAAGTGAATTCCAAGTTCCATCTCCACTTGTTCCAACTCGAGAGTGCTATTTCATTCGATACTGTAAACAACATCCTGATGGTACTTGGGCAATCGTAGATGTTTCCTTAGACAGTCTTCGCCCGAGTCAAGTAATGAAATGTCGTCGAAGGCCTTCAGGGTGTTTGATTCAAGAAATGCCTAATGGCTACTCCAAGGTACTGCAAATGTGTTCTTAAGTATATTTTTTTTACTATTTTTTTTACAAACTTAATCATGATTTTGTTTGATCTTCACTTTCTACAAAATTTAGGTGATTTGGGTGGAACATATTGAAGTTGATGATAGGTCAGTTCATAATCTATACAAGCCATTGGTGAATTCAGGACTTGCATTTGGTGCAAAACGATGGGTGTGTACTTTAGATCGACAATGTGAACGCCTTGCAAGTGTCATGGCTAACAATATTCCTTCAGGAGATATTGGAGGTAACTACATAACAATAAAAATATCAAATTCATGTGCTATAACTATGTGATTTTATATTAATAGAAAATTCTAACAAATTGATGGAATAGTGATAACAACATCTGAGGGGAGAAAAAGCATGCTAAAATTAGCTGAGAGAATGGTGATTAGCTTCTGTGGAGGAGTGAGTGCATCAACAACTCATCAATGGACAACATTATCTGGAAGTGGAGCTGAAGATGTGAGGGTGATGACTCGAAAAAGTTTGGACGATCCAGGAAGGCCTCCTGGAATTGTCTTAAATGCTGCAACTTCTTTTTGGCTACCTGTGGCGCCAAAGAGGGTGTTTGATTTTTTAAGAGATGAGAGTTCTCGGAGCGAGGTATGGTTAACTCAATTCACATTCTAAAACTGATTACATTAGCAATTGAAGCTACTTTCATTATGTTGCTTTGATTTAGAAATATTTTTAAAAGTGATGTGATCGACTAAAATCAAAATTTCATTGAATATAATTAAACACTAACATTCAATTATTCACCAATCTTCACAAAACCCCCTAAAAATTTTGATTTAGATTTCATTTTGAAAATAAGAGCCCAACCAAAGTTGCCTATTTGTGTTATATGGTTTGAACTTGAGGGAGTTTTCTTATTGTGCATTGTCAATGTTTTGGAGTATTAGCTTAATAATGTTCATCTTCATGTACTGTACAAAAATAATATTTTTGTAAGAAATTTGCTTCGGATTGGAGTAACTCTCCTATAAAATAGAACCAAATTTATCGATAAACACAAATTAATTATTTTAGAGATTGTCTCTTGGAGTTTTTGTCATGCTTAAACACTTAAACTTTTTAACTCAACTCAATGGGGAACTCACAAATTTTGTGTTTTACTCTTCTTTTTCTTATGTTGTTTGATGAACTGTTATTTCTTATTTGCTTTTCTCTTTAAAAGCGCTGATAAAAACAGGTTTTATTGCAGTTTTTAATGATAATGAATGTCATGTAAGTTTATCATGAAATTAATTCTGACATCCATAGTAAAGTATGAAGCAACAAAATAATTAAACATTTTGAATTCCTTTTCAATTTATAATTCCTCCCTCAATCAAAAATTGAATTATCATCTTTCCTTTATTTTCCATAGTCTTTGCCTTATAGTACTATTAATTATTTTCCTTCATTATTCCATTCCTAACCCCATCCCTCTAATCATATTTTAATTAGAAAACAATAATTTATAACAGTTCCTGAAATTTTATCAGTAGGATTAATAGATAATTAATGAGCTTCACTCTGAAAATAATATGACAAATTCTTCCTGACAGTGGGATATACTCTCCAATGGTGGTGTAGTCCAAGAAATGGCTCATATAGCCAATGGTCGTGAACATGGAAACTGTGTCTCCCTCCTCAGAGTTAATGTAAGTCACTTAGTTCAAGTTAAATCAACAGTGGAAATCTAGCCTCATACAGCAAATTAACTCTCTTTCTTTCTCTTTTTTTTTTGAAAACTAGAGCACAAATTCAAGCCAAAGTAACATGTTGATACTCCAAGAAAGCTGCACAGACCTGACTGGTTCCTATGTGATATACGCTCCAGTCGACGTCGTGGCAATGAATGTCGTCCTCAATGGCGGCGATCCAGACTACGTTGCCCTCTTGCCTTCGGGCTTTGCAATCCTTCCAGATGGCTATGATGGGGTTAATGGTGTTGGAAGTGGAATTGAGGAAGTGGGATCAGGTGGTTCATTACTTACAGTGGCATTTCAGATTTTAGTTGATTCAGTGCCGACAGCGAAGCTTTCTCTTGGTTCAGTTGCGACGGTTAACAACCTCATTGCTTGTACTGTGGAAAGAATTAAGGCTGCAATGTCTGGAGAGAGTGCTCAGTGAGTCAGCTCCTCTGTCTTTCTTTTGTTCATATTAATGGCTAGTTTAAAAAGAATTTATTAGGTTACATGGTTGTTTAGATGTTATTTGTATGTTGTGAGATATCATATTTTTAGTTTCAAAGCTTTAGGGGCTCATGGATATGGCTTAAATGTCGGCGCATTTACATACATACTACATAATTCTTATGTTACTATAGGAAAGTATACAGTACTATAGGGCTTTTCAAAATTTCTCTACTATTCATCACATATTATGTGAACAATGAGCAATTATTACATGTGAAGATTACTCATTGGTATAGATATTCTTTTATATTTACATATACAAGTTTTTGTCATGCTTTAGAAGTAATTTAAATTTTGATTTCTAATTTTAGACAAAATGCAGGGATTAATGAAGATTTAAGTCTTAAAGAGGGAACAATGGACGAAATTTTTGAGACATTGGAAGCAGTCAAGAACGCACCTCAGACTCTCCTTGAAATATGATGTATTTGTGCTACTGGAATCAAATTTCTAAATAGAGATCACAAAATTACATTTGTGAGGGTGCTGGTTCGGGTATTGACTCTCCTTTCTTTCCCTCCCTCCCGCCCTCCATGTATCTCTTTTCTCTCTATACCTTTGCAAAAAACTACGTTTATTTCCTTTTAATTACTACCATTGCTTTCTTAACTTCTCTCTTCCTGTAAGACAGGCTTACTTTTGAGTTTATCAAATTCAAGCATTATCTTATGGATTGGTTTTGAGGCTGTTTTTGTTTTCTTTCTGGTGGTAGTTCTTTTTTAATGAAGGGTTTTCATTTGATAAATATTATTTTTAAAATTTTTTACTTTTATTTTTAATTTTTTTTTTTGGAGATTATATATTTGAATTATATATGATAAACAAACTGCTATTATGAGTGATGTTTTATAAGGATTTTTTATAATTATTTAACTGGGATAAACATTCACTCTAATATATAACTACATCAAAAGTTGTAATTTTCTTTGCTTTTTTTTTTTAAGCTCAATTTTCAAAATATAATTTAGATTTATATGAAATATATAATGTGATGCTATCAATATTTCATGCATCAATAACACATTGTCTATATATGATTTAATGAGCATGAGTACTATGTAAAATGTAATTATACGTTGAAGTTTATAAATCTCATTTCATATATATACATAAAATTATAAAAATATAACCACCAAGAGAATTTTTAATAAATTATGTTTTTGAATAGATATATGATGAATACTTTTCATTAGAACTATTGTACTTAAGTTTGTAAAAATAAATGATTGCATGAAATTTTGATGAAATTGTTTGATGTTGATTATGCAAATGCGTGTATAATCTCTATCATGAGATCTAGAATAGTTGAGTATTAGGAAATAAATAATATAATTTGTATTTAGTTTGTATTAGATTGTTATTAGATTATTAATGAGTCTCGGTTTTCTGATGGGTTATAACCAAATCTCTTACGAGTTACGAAGAGTTCGGGTATGTGTTGAATCTAAATTTTTAATGTAGATCATGCCTAAGAAATAGAGCAAAAAAATTACTAGAGAGAAACTGAGAGAGAAAGAAGTGATATTGATTGCCATTAGCGGGACAAAGGGGGGTGTTCCCTAGGCTTTCAGATCCTTTTTTATAGATTGAAAAATGTTGCTACAAGAGGAGGAAAGAGAGATATTTAAATAGCTGGAAGGCCCAAATGGTCTCCGTCCCTCTACTTGTAAAAATATCGTCCTATTTATAGATGATAGGAGAAAAAAACTACAAAAAAATACATCATGGCTGCTGGGAGCTATGATTTATAATGTCACTGAGAGTTACTAGTTATTACTGTCCATGAGAGTTACTTGTCATTATGCCCATAAATGTTACCGGTTATTATTATCCTTAAGAGTTACCTTCTATTATTGTCCCTCAAGTTATATTATCTTCATTGGCACATTTTCGTATGTATGACACCGTTTCATTGATGGGTCCATCCGGTGATGTGGTTGGCCAGTTGACTGCTCTCTGCTACCATCAACTCTCCTCTTGATCTATGTAGGCATTTTTTCAGACATACATAAAGGGCATCAAGTCTCTTGAAAGTGAAAATTTGTTAAGAATGAGAGACTTTGAATCTGCTACCATCAACTCTCCTCTTGATCTATGTGGGCATTTATTCAGACATACATAAATGGCATCAAGTCTCTTAAAAGTGAAAATTTGTTAAGAATGAGAGACTTTGAATGCAAAAAAAGACAATCACAATAGCACAATAATTATACTCTCTTGATTTCAACATCTCTTAGCGCCCTGTTATCTTCAGCCTCAGAGTGCTCACTTGAGGCTTTTTCATGTTGATTTTTAATTTGTGTGGTCAGTTGGCTAACTACCTTTGACTAGTTGAGGTGAGCTTCAGTCAGTTTTACTGGCATCATGTTCATTTTAGCATTTCACATTTACTGGGTTATTTGTTTATAAAAGTTGCTCAGTGATGAATGTTGGCATTGGATGATTTGCTCGCCTAGAGGGGAATCATTAATATGCTTACCCTAGAGAGGAGTCTTTAATTTGCTTGCCTCAGAGGGGATTCTTTGATTTGGCCACCCCGGAGGGGAGTCTTTGATTTGCTCTCCCTAGGGGGAGTCTTTAATTTGCATGCCTCAGAGAGAAGTTTTTAATTTGCTCGCCCCAAATGGTAGTCTTTGATTTGCTTGCCTAGGAGGGAAGTCTTTATTTTTCTCAATCAATTTAATTTTTCTAAGTGTCTGCTTAGATTGAGACACTCGTGCAAGATATTTTTTAACACCTAATAGTATCTCAACAAATTGAAAGGAAGAATATGGTCTGGTATTTAATATATCATACCAAAAATGAAGTCTTCTCTTCACTTAATTTCAAGTTTTTAATAAAAGAAATTTAATACATACAACACAATTCTTATCAATTTATATATTTAACACCTAAAATTTAATAGTTATTTTTATAATGCTTTAATATTAAAAATATATGCATGAAAATATGAATTTTACTTTTAAATGTTAGAGATAATCGAATGTAAATATGAAACTATAGGTGTGTGTTTTGTAAATATAAAAGAATTGTGTGATGTTTATGTAAACGCTTATTAATAATATATAGTTTAATTAATATCCTCAATTTTTGTGTTGTAGTGCTTGAAGCACCCACCCATTATAGCAAACAACACATAATAGCAGGAAGCATTTTCTGACACAGCGTGCTCGCACATGTAGCATGAGGGGCGCGGTGCGGGCCACACCTAGGTTTGCAATGTCCCTGTGCCAAATTTTGGGCGCTTGTGAGCCCGGTAATAGAGATTTATATTCTCGCATCAAGAAGTGGCACAAGCACACCAAATGCGGATGGTGAAATACCCATCTGACAACCGTAAAACTGTCTCCCACTTCTATGAGGCTAGCATAACGTGAGTAAGGGAACCGATAATCCGCAGTAACACAACACAACTCGGGCGGTGCACAAAATCTCAGAGCTCATTCTGCTGTTGAGATAAAAAAAATCATTTGTTAAATCATAAAATTAAATTAAGTTTTATATAGCAAAATTCTAGACCGAGAGAAACGAAAACCATAGAATTCTTAATATAACCATAACATTCAAACTCATTTTACAATCAAATACATCAGAATTAAAGCTAGAGTCTAATAAATAAAGAAACGTTGCTAAATCAACATCCATAAATAGCATTTGCGGTAGACTCCCTCAAAGTAACCGTCTCAGCGATACTTTCACCGTCATGAGTTTCAAATTCATTTGACTCCATATCATCCTAAGGTAATGATTGGACAACCAAATATTCTAAAGGATCTGGAGTGACATGTTGCTGATCTTCATCAGCCAAAGAGAAGTCCGTATCTGATTGAGAGGGATGTCTTCGGATGAAGTTGTCAAGTGTCATGGTGGCCACCACAATATGCACCTGTTTGAGAAATAGATACAGCGACATATCATGTAGGATGACCCATTTCCTTTTCTACACCCCAAATATTCTTTCAAAATCAAGAATTGGTATTATCTCGTGTCCGGATTAGCCCCTCTGCATCGAATATCCATCATCAACCAAATAATATTTCCTTATTATGAAAGACAATATTAATGGTAAATAATACCTATAAGTTGTTGGTTGACATAGCTAAACACACATGGAGGCGGATGAGGGAAACACTGTGTTCTATTCCTCAATGCATAGGAAAAAATATGACTATCATGTGCACTCCCTTTCCATCCCGGCATTACAAATGTGATGCACATATTGAAGTCACATACTACCATGAAATTTTGGGTAGTTGAACCACTCCGACAAATGTACGACACTTTTTAGTGGTATGGTAGTTTGGCATCTACGTGTGTACCGTTGATTGCCCCAATGCAGTTTTGTTTATCCATTATTAGAAACACATTACATTATGAAGCTAACGTAACACAATAATAAAAGTTATCTTGAAATATGGCATGTAACGGGGATCATTTGCAATTTGTTCTTGAATAGTTGCAAATAATGGATCCTCTAGGTTAATTATTTGCAAAGCTAAGCTCACAAGTGTTTGTATACCTTTGGAGAAGTATCAGCTTATTGTTTCTGAAGAATGTTGAAACCGCTCCATAGCTCCTCTAATTGATTCATTTTGTGAGGAATGTATAATGTTATAGCCATTACCTCTCTAGTGGTCATTCTAAAAGAACCTTGGAGGTCGTGGTTAAGACATAACTCTTGAAGAAGATCCATAAAAGTGAGTGCAGTCATTTGAAAGATGTTGCTGAACCTTATCGGATGTCCAACAAGTATTTCACCCACCCATTTTTCACCAACATAGGAGGACGTCATGCTTGGTATCCATCTATTGATGGTTCAGTAGTATTCCAACAATAATATCACAATAGCTACAACCCATGCCATTCTTTTACGTCGTTCTTGCTATGGATCCATCCTTAAAGGAGAAATGTATTAGGACAAGTGATGACAGATGAATGTAAAAGAAATAACATCGAGGACTATAAAACATTGAAACAAAAATTTCATACAAGTGCTTAGATAAAATTACATAAGAAAATAATCTAGTGAAAACATAATATAAAATAGACTCATTCTTCTGCTGAAACACGCAATCATTCAATGCACAGCTCAAATCGGAGCGCCATGAACATTTGCCTACGAGTAGGGTCTTCAAGTTTTTTAACACATTTTGCATTAAAGACATATCAACAACCGCATCTTGAATAGCATCCAAGATGGCAACATAATCTAAGATGGTTTCGTTAGGAGGCAGAGATGAAAAAATAGCAATCAACTGATACAATGAGCTTTTCGTGAAAATGTCCCTTTCTTTCTTGTTCCTGCCAAGCCTGGGCCACTTGGACAGGGAACTGGACTCCTCCATCTACTTTTAGTTAACACTAGGTCCTTCTTCATCAGCTATAACATGTTTTGGAGCAAGTCATCTGGTATCCCTGAAAAACTAATTCGCTTGGGTTGAAAGCATCTTTTCTCGTCACAACAACACCCTCAAACATGATGTCCAATTTTTATTCAAACTCCAACTCAATTCCGCACTGCCTATATTTTTTAGTTGTTGGCATGGCCTGCATCGTTGAATGGAAAAAGATCGGTTTAGTCATTAACCAAAAAATACGGGAACAAACAAAATAAGAGTG